TTTGGAACGACTTTGCCGAATGCCCTAATATTGATTATTAATCGGTGCATGCCTAATTGGGTTATTTTTTGATTCAAAACGGGACATAAAACATGCTTCTGTACTGTAAAAGTAGGCCGAACTCAAGAGATCCAATACCCAATAATATTGTGAAAATCCAATAGATTGGGTGACCAATATTATTGGTCCCAATAGATTGGGTGACCAATATTATTGGTTCCAATAGATTGGGTGACCAATATTATTGGGACCCAATAAATTGGGTGACCTGTATTATTGGAACCCAATATATTGTATTGGTGCATGCCTAGATATACATACATATACATTTACTGATGAAAACAACGGCATTAAAAATGGTAAAAAATATATTATAACAGTTAGATGTATTTACGTATTTGAATCGAGCTTTGTCCTGCCTAGTCCATTCGGTTCATCATTCAATGATGATAATTCATTTCAATCGGAACCATTGATTATTAATTTAACAAGTCAATGTTCGCCACCGCAGTCAATCGATCTTAATGTTAGCAATAGTAGTGATTATCCTATTATGCAAACAAAAATTTACCCTACAACTGATAGAGAAAGCGAACGGATGGTTGATGCATATGATATTGAATTAATAAAGATAGAAAATGATATACCATTAGTAATAAGCAATGTTGTTCGCGATTCTTCAACACCATTTTCGCCTGAATATACATTTGACATGTTGATCATTGATGCACAGTCTTTGAGTGCAACGCCGTTAAACACTCCTGCTTATGCAGTACAAGCAAGAGCAATACAACTTCATAATGAAACTTCTTATCTACATAAACCAAGTGACTATGTTCGTAGCAACAATATTTTTCGTCGAATTGCTCATGTAACAACTATGAATGTTATATTTCCAACAATTATCGCCACAAATGTACGTGATTACAATACAATTTCAGTTCAATGGACGATTCCATCTTCATCAATAAATGATTTGTTTGGTTTGGCCATTCATGTGTTATCAAAAGATCTAATGAGCGGTACAACTGTGTTGAATACAGAATTATATTCAAAGAATCAAATCTCAGCTGCTACAACAACCACAATACAAGTATCTGATCTGTATACAAAATTACAAAAGCAAATCTCCGCCACATCAAACATATTTGTAATTGGTATACGAAGTAAAGTTAGTGTAGATCAATCAACGGCGGGATTGCTGGACAGTATTATTGTATTCGATAATACCATTCAGTCAATACTGAATTTTTTAACTCCACCAGTAGTTATTAATCAGTTATTTGATATAACCAATAATCAATTAGTAATTACATTAATAGCAGAAAATTTATCAGCTGTACAGTATGAGTGCCAGCTAATCAACAATAACAGTATAGATTTAACAGCGTTCGTTTTTGATATAACGTCAACATTATATCAGATATCCTCTAACTTGTCATTATCAATTGATGTTAATAAATTATATACAGCAACAACAAATGAAGTTAGTTGTAATAATTTTGCTATTGTAACTTGTACGAAAACAACGAATCATTCACTTAGTAGTTTAACGGGTGTTTATAATCTATCCAATATTACTTTGCAACAATTACAATCAATTGAACCATCATCAATAACTTGTAATTTATAATTATCCGGCAGTGCCCAAAAAATGATTTATGTAACAATTAATCTGTTAACAAATTCTCTTATAAATGTTCGTGCAATTAAAATATGCTTAAATGATTCAAAATCCAATCAAAAATTAGATTTTAAATGTGGTACAAGTACCTGATTTTGTTAAGAGTCAACCACTTAGAACGTCCAACTAAAACAGGCCCATTTTAGCAGTACTACTACTCTTTGAAAGAGGGATGCTGTCCGTAATAGAAATAGTAGCACAGTGGTTAAAGCTTTTGATCTGTTATTAGAGGGTCCTGGGTTCGAGTCTCGGTTGAGTCGTATATTTTCTTCGCATGTGTTTGTCTGTCAGATCCTGTTAGGTCGCAAACGTATATTCATTTATAAAAAACGAAAAAGGTGCTCTTGTAACTAACAATAGTTTACTGTCATTCCTACAAATAAAATAGAACTACTCTTTCTAACTTACAACTGTATATCTTATTTATTGTAGAAAGCATTCGTTCGAGAATTTTTAGAAGAAATAAGTTCAAGACATTGAATACAAAAAAAAAATGAAACGACTAGGTGGTTCCAGCAGGTTGTGAAAATACTCTTCAACATATTTAATTGACAGTGACACGGTGACAGAGAGCTTAAAAGAAAATCACTAGACTCCATATTTCCCAGTTTTCTCTAGTCCCGATTCTCAGAAATTAAGACAATTTTTTAAGGAACTTTACTGTCTGCTATTGTCTTATCGAAAAGATTTTCTGTTTTCCTCCTTGTTTCGGATATTTCTGAAGAAGTTCTGAATTTTTTTCGAGATTTTTCTTAACTTTACGTCTAGCAACTCAACTGGCAAATGTGGATTTGTCGCCGTTCGACAGTTCTAGTTTTCGACAGACAGCTTTTGACACTGTCGAATTTTCTAGAAATTCGATAGATTTTTCGCTCGTATTTTCTG